AAAAAAAAAAAAAAAAAAAAAAATATGAAATAAAAAGTTCGTCAAAGCAGAAAAAAAAGAATTTTTTTTTAAAAAAATATTTGTTAAACGCCAAAGAGGGTTATTTTATAAAAAAAAATATTTCTTTTTTTCTTGATCCGTGTTTTCTCACTTCTTTATATAAAAAAAATTTTTTTTTTTCCTATGATCTTCACTTTTTAACTAGGTAGTAAAAAAAAAAAAACTTGCAACTTTAAAAAAAAAAATTATTTATTTATTTATTATTCATTCATTCATTCATTCATTCATTTACGCAAGTACATATTTTTAAAGTAAAGATATTATAATGTGACATAAACGTAAATGAAAAATAAAAAAAATTTTTTTTTTTTGTATACAATAAAAAAGTTTATATATATTATATATATATAACAGATAATAATATATTAATATGTTTTGATTTCGAGTTAAAAAAAAAAAAATTTGTATAATTTTTTTTTATATCAATTGATGAACGATTTCACCAAAACATGAAACTTCTGTTACAGAAGGAGAATACTAAATTTGGAGTGCTAATATGAAAAAGGATTTTTATTCAAACCAATTAAAGTAAAAAGAGGTAAAGTCGATTATTATTTATAATTTCATCCGAAATTACCGAAGGAAAATAATATTAATTTAAAATAAATATACGATTAGAATAACAATGACTTATCTTAAAAATATATACAAATAGTAAATAAAAATAAAATACGCCATTAAAAATATCCCTAAATAATTGTAATCGTATTTAATCTATTATATATATTTTTTATAATTAATCGATGAATAAATCATTCTACTCATCTACTGTATTTAAGTGATTCTTTTAATTCCAGATAAAGAACTCGGCGTTTGATAAACAAGAAATTCCTAAATAAGAACTCTAAAAATAATGAACGAATTAAAAAATGAACGAAACCGAAACAAAATAAAAATATATATACAGTAAAAAAATAAAAAATATTCTATTCTACTTTTTTGATGGGCAAATTTTGTTGTTTACTATATTTGGTAATGTTTTTTGTCATCAAAATTTTTTATCGTTTATAAAAGGAAAAAAAAACCGGAATAACCGAAGAAAAAAGATTTTTATTATCAGTTATAGCGCCTCGTTTAAAAAATTTTTTAATGACAAACTTTAAGATAAAAAAATTTTTTTCAATTTTGAAAAAATCGGAATATATATATGTTGTATATAT